CTCTATTCTAGTTTTTACCAGTAGATGGCGCTCTAGGCTGGTTTTTACCTGTAGATTACACTCTATGCCAGTTTTTACCAGTAGATGGCGCTCTAGGCTGGTTTTTACCAGCAGATGGCGCTCTAGGCTGTTGTTACCAGCAGATGGCGCTCTAGGCTATTTGTTAAGAACAGATGGCGCTCTAGGCTGGTTTTTACCAGCAGATGGCGCTCTAGGCTAGTTTTTACCAGCAGACGGCGCTCTAGGCTAGTTTTTACCAGTAGATGGCGCTCTAGGCTAGTTTTTACCAGCAGATGGCGCTCTAGGCTGGTTTTTACCAGTAGATTACATTCTATGCTAGTTTTTACCAGTAGATGGCGCTCTAGGCTGGTTTTTACCAGCAGATGGCGCTCTAGGCTAGTTTTTACCAGTAGATGGCGCTCTAGGCTGGTTTTTACCAGTAGATTACATTCTATGCTAGTTTTTACCAGTAGATGGCGCTCTAAGCTGGTTTTTACCAGCAGATGGCGCTCTAGGCTAGTTTTTACCAGTAGATGGCGCTCTAGGCTGGTTTTTACCAGCAGATGGCGCTTTAGGATAGTTTTACCAGTAGATGGCGCTCTAGGCTGGTTTTTACCAGCAGATGGCGCTCAATGCTAGTTTTTACCAGCAGACGGCACTCTAGGCTAGTTTTTACCAGCAGATGGCGCTCTAGGCTAGTTTTTACCAGTAGATGGCTAGTTTTTACCAGTAGATGGCGCTCTAGGCTGGTTTTTACCAGTAGATGGCGCTCTAGGCTAGTTTTTACCAGCAGACGGCACTCTAGGCTAGTTTTTTCCAGTAAATGGCGCTGTAGGCTGGTTTTTACTAGTAGATAGCGCTCTAGGCTGGTTTTTACTTGCAGACGGCGCTATAGGCTAGTTTTTACCAGTAGATAGTGCTCTATCAACTGTAAGAAAGAAACCTTTATGAGTTTCAAAAAACTTTAAGTGAGAGTAAATAATGAGTAAATGCTCATTTTATTCTTTTAAATGACCTGAGGGTGAGTAAATTAACATTAGATTTCCATTTATGGGTGAACTATCCCTTTAACAGCGCGCGTTGACTAATGTAAACAAACTACACCTGATCATAAAGTCACTGCTTGTGTTTGGTGAATTGTGAATGTGCACAAACAAATCTCCACCATGATTTCTCACTGATCGTCTTTGTTTTTTCTGTCCTGTTCAACATAATTGCACAAAATATTTATATTTAAAGGGTCAGTTCACCCACAATTTAACATTAGGCCATGATTTACTCGCCTTTAACGCATTCTATTGGTGTATATAAGTTCCTTCCGATGGCTCTAGAGTAAACCATGTCTAATTTTATTTATGGGTGAACACACACACACACACACACACACTCTAAGCGACTCCCTGCAGCAGGACGAGGTTTTTCCTGTAGCACTCCAGACTGCAGAGCGGCGTCCCGGTCTTGGAGCAACAGTACTTCTTCAGGTTGGCGCATCCCGCTACGCCGCAGCTCAGAGGTGCAGACGGGGGTGCAGGCGGTGCTGCAGGCATCGGGACGGGAATCCCAGAGGGGTATGAAACGCATGACCCCTGAGCACTGCTGCTGTAGCGCACCATCGGCACCTGCGTCTGTCGGCCCCGACGCTCCTTCAGGCTCTTGATCTTGGCCTTGCTGGTCTTGGTCAGCCTCTCGATGGTCTGGTTCTTGTTCTCCTCCGCCTTCTTGGCCGCCTGGAGACGTCTTTTTCGGGCTCGTTCCTCTCGTTTCTGCATCATCTCAGCCGTCAGCTCTTTCTCTTTGTAGCCCATGGGGAGCTCCAGTAACGGCTGGATCTGCTGCTTGTGTAACAGCGCTTTCTGTTCACACGGAGAACACACTCAAGTCAGTCAATTCAAAACCGTGCAATCAAATGAGGCATGATATGCACAACACTATTTAGACATACTATGCTTGCATACTATATAGTAGGGAAGTATGCGGGTTTGGATGTGGCCCTTATGTTTGTTTGCTTTTTCAACACAGATCATTTGGATGTTTAGTATATCTCCATGCTTATTCTGTGTGTCTGACCTGTCTGGCGGTGAGCAGAGACTCGTCGATCTCCTTCTTCAGCTCTCCGTTATCGTCCAGCTCTCCTTTCTCCAGCGCGTCCAGCCACTGCTCCTCCTCGTCCACCGGGCCCAGCAGAGAGTCGGTGTCCATGTCGGGCAGATCTCCGGACGGCTCCAGGTTACTGTCCTCATCTGAGTATCACAAACACACACACACACACAGTTATATACACACACACACACAGACACACTCACAGACCAGACCGCCTTGTTACAAACCCCTGATGTTAATCAAGGGGATAGTGGGGTCTGACATTTATTTAATTCAAATATATTTATATAAACAGTGAATGAGTGCAAAAGACAACCAAAGTAATGCCAAAAATGTGTGCTTTTATTTAGTGAACAACAACAACTAATTAATCAAAAATAAAGAAAAAGTAAGTAAGGCAAAAATATACTATTTACAATATATACAACACTGAGACAAATAAAGACGGGAAAAAACAAGAGAGCTGGCAGAAGGGACGCGGGCGGCGCTAAAGAGATGAAAAGAACAAAACCCAAACTAAATCTAACTTCCCAGAAGCATCTAGCTAACTATGTGAAAAACAGTTTAATTAACACGCTGAGATCTTCCGAGTCCTGACTGTCAACTCTATCTAGCTATCCAAAAAGTACAAGGAGTGGCGCTCGCCCCTAACCTAGTGTACTAAACAGCAGAGTAGTCCTAAGTGTTGCAATGAATGTCACGTGACCTTCTTACCTATCCGCTTCGTCCAAGCCTCGTAAACAACGTAAAGATTGATGTACGAATAACGTAAAGAATGATGTACGAATAACGGACGGATAACGTGCACACAGAAACGGGCAACAACAAAATACAAAGTTAGACGGGTTATTTCTAAACGCACTCAATAAATACAAACAAGTGACAAAAGCAGAGAAAGAAAAATGCAGGGGACTAGCGAGTGGTCTGATGCGCCCTTTTAAGACGGGTGGTCTTTGCTTATTGGATGTGACGTAAGAGTGACGTAACCGGGGAGGAATGACTGACAGCTGAATAGACCAGTGGACGGAACCTGAGAATACATGAAAGCAGATATGGGAGAACAGAGAGAGAGAGAGAGAGAGAGAGGGGGGAAAAAACAGAGAAACAGAGCACAAATAACACAAATACATAACACGCCTGTATTCACAAAACACTTCAGCTTACCACAAAAGCCGCCTTTCCACTGCACACGACATATGGACACGACTGTCGGATTTCGCCCCCTTGTGGCAGTCGCAAAGTACATTCAGTTCTGATGTGCACCATGGGAGAGAAGCTGTTCTCGCAGTCTCCGAAATAAAGGAGTGCAAAAGCAAGAGCCTTTATTCTCCGTGCGTTCACCATGATTGATTGAATGAATGAATACTAGAAACTGATAGACGGCTAAAAATATTGGAGGGAATGTGGAGACAACATAAAACATTATATTGTTATTACTTTATTACTTACATTTATGAATAGAAATGTTTTTTAGACTTCTGATGATTCCAAAAATAACCAAATGAAGTCCTATTTCTCATCTCGCGCACACGGACCTGCTTGGACAACACTGGAATACATCGCATACGGTATAGTCGCAGGAGTTCAAATATTTCAATGGATCCGCAGCTCAATTCAGATCCGAATTTTGCCCATACGGAGATGATCGGAACTCCTTGCAGCTCCCGCACTACTCTCCATTGTAAATGAATGACTTCCGGTCTGTCGCTTGTCGTGTGCAGTGGAAAGGAGGCTTAAGATATAGAGCTTCATCTTATAGGAACACTCCGCTTTTTTCGGAAGTAGGTTCATTTTACAGCTCACATAGAGTTAAACTGTTGGGTTTTACCATTTTTGAATCCATTCAGCCAACTTCGGGTCTGGTGGGAGCACTTTTAGCTTAGCTTAGCATAAATCATTGAATCGGATTAGACCGTTAGCATCTCACTCAGAAATGACCAGAGTTTTGATCATTTTCGCATTTAAAGCTTGACTCACACACAGTCTGGTTAGTGTGACTTCACCAAGAAGGACAACTTCCATGTTGATCCGGGAACAACACTCCAATCAGCCAATCAGAATGAAGGGATACGTTTACAGTTTATGTTAAGTTTAGGGTCTTGTGCTTCTACATGATTGTTGTCAACAATTATTCTCCTCTGATTTTGGGAATAATTTACAGTTATGGTTTGATTTAGGGGTAGGAATTACATTAAATATTTGAACATAAACAACATCGATATTAACCCAGGATTGTGTTGTACTTTTAGTCCAGACCACCTGTATTCACAAAACATTTCTTCTTATACATACACTCCACCTTTTTATGGAAATAAGCTCTTTTTTCAGCTCACTTAGAGATAAACAGCTGATTTTACCATTTTTTAAAATCCATTTAGCTGATCTTCGGGTCTGGTGGGAGCACTTTTAGCTTAGCTTAGCATAGATCATTGAATCAGATTAGACCGTTAGCATCTCACTCAAAAATTACCAGAGATTAGATCATTTTCTCATTTAAAGCTCGACTCACACACAGTCATACACTGAGGTTAGTGTGACTTCACCAAAAAGACAACTTCTATGTTGACCCTCGAACAACACTCCAATCAGCCAATCAGAATGAAGCGATACATTTACAGTTTATGTTAAGTTTGGGGTTATGTGCTTCTACATGATTGCTACCCAACTGTTATTCCCCTCTTATTTTTGGAAATAATTTAAAGTCAGGGTTGGGTTTAGCAGTAGGGATTAGGTTACATTTTGGAACATAAATAAAGTTCCAGGAACAACTTCGGGAGCACTTTTAGCTTAGCTTAGCATAGATCATTAAATCGGATTAGACTGTTAGCATCTCGCTCAAAAATGACCAGAGTTTTGATCATTTTCTCTTTTAAAGCTCGACTCACACACAGTCATACACTGAGGTTAGTGTGACTTCACCAAGAAGGACAACTTCTATGTTGACCCTGGAACAACACTCCATCAATCAGCCAATCAGAATGAAGGGATATGTTTACAGTTTGTTAAGTTTAGGGTTTTGTGCTTCTACATGATTGTTGTCAACAATTATTCCCCTTTGATTTTGGGAATAATTTACAGTTATGGTTTGGTTTAGGGGTAGGAATTAGATTACATTTTCGAACATAAGCAACGTTCCAGGAACAACATCAATATTAACCCATTGTACTTCTAGTCAAGACCACCTGTATTCACAAAACATTTCCTCTGATAGGAACACTCCACCTTTTTTTTTTTTTTTTTTATGGAAATAAGCTCTTTTTTCAGCTCACTTAGAGATAAACAGCTGATTTTACCATTTTTAAAAATCCATTTAGCTGATCTTCGGGTCTGGTGGGAGCACTTTTAGCTTAGCTTAGCATAGATCATTAAATCGGATTAGACCGTTAGCATCTCGCTCAAAAATGACCAGAGTTTTGATCATTTTCTCATTTAAAGCTTGACTCACACACAGTCATACACTGAGGTTAGTGTGACTTCACCAAAAAGACAACTTCTATGTTGACCCTGGAACAACACTCCAATCAGCCAATCAGAATGAAGGGATATGTTTACAGTTTATGTTAAGTTTAGGGTTATGTGCTTCTACATGATTTGTACCCAACTGCTATTCCCCTCTTATTTTTGGAAATAATTTAAAGTCAGGGTTGGGTTTAGCGGTAGGGATTAGGTTACATTTTGGAACATAAATAAAGTTCCAGGTACAACTTCGGGAGCACTTTTAGCTTAGCTTAGCATAGATCATTGAATCGGATTAGACCGTTAGCATCTCACTCAGAAATGACCAGAGTTTTGATCATTTTCTCATTTAAAGCTCGACTCACACACAGTCATACACTGAGGTTAGTGTGACTTCACCAAGAAGGACAACTTCTATGTTGACCCTGGAACAACACTCCATCAATCAGCCAATCAGAATGAAGTGATACGTTTACAGTTTGTTAAGTTTAGGGTTTTGTGCTTCTACATGATTGTTGTCAACAATTATTCACCTCTGATTTTGGGAATAATTTACAGTTATGGTTTGGTTTAGGGGTAGGAATTAGATTACATTTTCGAACATAAGCAACTTTCCAGGAACAACATCAATATTAACCCATTGTACTTCTAGTCAAGACCACCTGCATTCACAAAACATTTCCTCTGATAGGAACACTCCACCTTTTTTTTTTTTTATTTAATGGAAATAAGCTCTTTTTTCAGCTCACTTAGAGATAAACAGCTGATTTTACAATTTTTAAAAATCCATTTAGCTGATCTTCGGGTCTGGTGGGAGCACTTTTAGCTTAGCATAGATCATTGAATCGGATTAGACCGTTAGCATCTCGCTCAAAAATAACTACAAAGTTTTGATAATTTTCTATATTTAAAGCTCGACTCTAATGTAGTTACATGGTGTACATTATAGACAATTTTTCTATATTTTGGACATATGGATTGATGGATAGATATATGCAGATAAATGCAGCTTTCTCACTCTCGTCCCCAAGTGAAGATGACCGATAATAGTTTGTGATTTTCCCTAAGTGACTTTAACATTTGACAGATTGAGGAGCTACTTTTAACTCTAAAACACAATATGAAATACTTTATAGTAATAAATACTACAAGTAATAAATTAAGAACTCTTGAAATTTTGACTCAGATTGCCTCCTAAATCAGACCGCTGTGAGCCACTTTTATCCTATCACGGTGTTTTGTGGATATGGATTATATATGCAGACGTGTCCCTCACCCAGCCAGGCTCTGTACTGCTCTATAGGGACTCCCTCTGACGGCACTTCATCATCAGAGTCTTCATCGTCATCATCATCTTCATCATCACTGTCCACGGTCACATTCAGAGGAGACACGGAGCGCAGGGAGTCCGGCAGCACAGTGAAAGTGGGAACACTGCACACACACACACATTAAGTAAACACTTGAACAACACTAATAAAGGCTTGAATAGATGACTATATACATAGATAGATAACTATATGTAAATTCTAAGATGTTGCTAGGCAGTTGTAAGTTGCTTGTAAGTCACTGCAGGATGTCTGACCTCTTGGTGCCGAGCGTCTGTCCGCCGAGTTTGATCTTCAGTTTGAGTTGAGGAGGTTTGAGGATCAACAGGCCCGAGTCCGACTCCAGAGCCTCAGAGGAGAAACCGTGGCCCTCATCGCGGTGGTGCTTCTTCTTGTGCTTCTTGTGCTTTTTGTGTTTCTTCTTGTGGAGGTTATAATCATCCCCGCTTGCTGGAGGAGACACAACAGACGGGTGAGCCAGATGAGAATTAAAGGGACACTTCAGCTGAAAACTCAAATCAATTTGCACCTCATTCACTTTCCCCTCATTGTTTACTTGTTTCAAAGCCGTTTTATTAATTTATTTTCCTACGGTTTAGTCCCTTGTTAATCAGGGGTCGCCACAACAGAATGAAACAACTGTTCTGCTATACGTTTTATGCAGAGGATGCCCTTCCAGCTGCAACCCAGTGCTAGGAAACACCCATACACCCATATAAAAATGCTTTTCTTGCTTAGATTTTTTGTCTTGTTTCTAGTCTAAATATCTAAAATTTCTTATATCAAGAAGCATTTTTTAGACAAGCAAAACATATTGCCTTGTTTTGAGAAATAATATGCCAATATTAAGTCAGTTTTTCCTTAAAACAAGCAAAATAATCTGCCAATGGGGTAAGCAAATTAATCTTGTTTTTTCTTTTGATGTAAGATTGTTTTGCTTACCCCATTGGCAGATTATTTTGCTTGTTTTAAGGAAAAACTCACTTAATATTGGCATAATATTTCTCAAAACAAGGCAATTTGTTTTGCTTGTTTAGAAAATTCTTCTTGATTTAGGAATTTTTAGATATTTGGACTAGAAACAAGACAAAGAATCTAAGTAAGAAAAGCATTTTTGCAGTGCACTCTTTGAGTTTCTTTCTTCTGTTGAACACAAATAAAGATATCCTGCAATGTTTCCTCTAGAATTTTTTTCCAGCTGTGGCGGCAGGCTTTTTCTACATGGATCTACCAACTACCTGTGGCGTATTTCAATGACAAATGTTGTGAGTGCAGTATTAAGTCGAAACCACATTTATGTAACAGCGAACGAGCATGCGGATCTATTTGCTTGTGCGCCGATTTCCTCTGCGTGTGCACAAAACTTCTTGCACGCCCCCTCAAATATTAGCCGCTTTAAGAACGCGCAGATCTTCTTGTGCGCTCGTAAATAAACCCTGCTGATGTGCGATTTTTAGTGCGTTTATGTCTCCAGCATTTATTAGATTTGCTAGGAATATTTATGAATGCCTCTAATACACCTACAGAGCGATATTAATGCGTCCTGAAGTAAAGTAAAACGGCTATACGTCGTGTTTGCTGGCCTCACGCATCACGCACCTGTCAGTCAGCACGTAACCTTTAAGGGTTAAACAAATGACGCACAGCTCTACTACAGTTACAGAAAAGTTTGCGCTGTTATAATTCACTTACCCTTTAATATGTTTTGGTGCAATTATTACCCGCTTTTGAAAACAATTTAATGTTTTGAATGAGAAGCTGTAATGTAGCCATGGCGGGATGAATTTTGGTGTGGCGCCCCGCCATGGAAGAAGGAATTTAGCGGAAAGTTAGTTGACTTTACTTAATAAAAGTGAGTAAACTTGTTGGTTAAAGCGATTAGTTGACTTTACTTAATAAAAGTGAGTAAACTTGTTGGTTAAAGCGATTAGTTGACTTTACTTAATAAAAGTGAGTAAACTTGTTGGTTAAAGCGATTAGTTGACTTTACTTAATAAAAGTGAGTAAACTTGTTGCTTTTAAAGCGATTAGTTGACTTTACTTAATAAAAGTGAGTAAACTTGTTGGTTAAAGCGATTAGTTGACTTTACTTAATAAAAGTGAGTAAACTTGTTGGTTTTAAAGCGATTAGTTGACTTTACTTAATAAAAGTGAGTAAACTTGTTGGTTTTAAAGCGATTAGTTGACTTTACTTAATAAAAGTGAGTAAACTTGATGCTTTTAAAGCGATTAGTTGAATTTACTTAATAAAGGTGAGTAAACTTGTTGGTTAAAGCGATTAGTTGACTTTACTTAATAAAAGTGAGTAAACTTGTTGGTTAAAGCGATTAGTTGACTTTACTTAATAAAAGTGAGTAAACTTGTTGGTTAAAGCGATTAGTTGACTTTACTTAATAAAAGTGAGTAAACTTGTTGCTTTTAAAGCGATTAGTTGACTTTACTTAATAAAAGTGAGTAAACTTGTTGGTTAAAGCGATTAGTTGACTTTACTTAATAAAAGTGAGTAAACTTGTTGGTTTTAAAGCGATTAGTTGACTTTACTTAATAAAGGTGAGTAAACTTGTTGGTTAAAGCGATTAGTTGACTTTACTTAATAAAGGTGAGTAAACTTGTTGCTTTTAAAGCGATTAGTTGACTTTACTTAATAAAGGTGAGTAAACTCATTTCTTAAAGTGATTAGTTGACTTAACTTAATAAAAGTGAATAAAATCATTGGTTTTAAAGCGATTAGTTGACTTTACTTAATAAAAGTGAATAAATTTGTTTCTTTTAAAGCGATTAGTTGACTTTACTTAATAAAAGTGATTAAACTTGACGGTTTTAAAGCGATTAGTTGACTTTACTTAATAAAAGTGAGCAAACTTGTTGCTTTTAAAGTGATTATTGACTTAAAAAAGTGAGTAAACTTGTTGGTTTTAAAGCGTTTAGTTGACTTGATAAAACTGAATAAACTCGATGGTTTTAAAGTCAAATAATTGCTTTTAAAGCAATGCGTTTACTCCCGTTTAATAAGTATCTCGTCAACTAAGTATCTAAGTCAACTAATAACTTTAAAACTAACAAGTTTACTCACTTTTATCAAGTGAAGCGATAAGTTAAATTTAGTTATTAAAAGTGAGTAAACTCATTGCTTTAAAATCGATAAGTCGACTTTAAACCCAACAAGTTTACTAACTTTCATTAAGTCAACTAATCGCTTTAAAACCAACTGTATTGTGTTTTTAAAACCCCTAATAACTTGCCTTAACGTAAGCTTAATAATGTAAAATGTGGTATGCGTGTTGTGTATTTGCATGTGGCAATTTTTAAACTCAACTTAATTCATGTTTTTAAGACTGGAACTCTTCGAGGCAAATCTCAGTATTAAGATTTTGGGGCTTTTCCTCCATCTCTAATCAAAGAAAAACATCTTAAGTAGACTTTTAAGTGTTTTCTTGATGGCACTTTATCAATTTGTGTCTGTAGATTCATCTATAATACATTTTAAAGATCGTTTTGTCAAGGTCGATCGATCGTTCTTCCTCCTATAACGAGCCATAAATCTCTATTCAGCAGCTCCTACATACAACAAACTTTGTGTATTTGCCACGTCTGTATATATAATCTGAAGGTTTTCATCAACAGATTTGTTCATACATGACTTACGTGTATAAATGCATTGTTTTGTTCTAAAACATTTAAAAATAACAAACAAATTATATGGCGAGGCAGTGGCGCAGTAGGTAGTGCTGTCGCCTCACAGTAAGAAGGTCGCTGGTTCGAACCTTGGCTCTGTTGGCGTTTCTGTGTGGAGTTTGCATGTTCTCCCTGCTCTCCGGGTGCTCTGGTTTCCCCCACAGTCCAAAGACATGCGGTACAAATGAATTGGGTAAGCTAAATTGTCCGTAGTGTATGAGTGTGTGTGTGGATGTTTCCAGAGATGGGTTGCTGCGGGAAGGGCATCTGCTGTGTAAAAATTTGCTGGATAAGTTGGCGGTTCGTTCCGCTGTGGCGACCCCGGATTAATAAAGGGACTAAGCCGACAAGAAAATGAATGAATGAATGAAATAAATTATATATAATGAATTTTGAAGTTTTAAACCTGGATCAGTACATATTTCATAACATAAATATATAATGAATATCTACTTTACATAAATATACCATTTTGGAAAACTTACAAATACAAAAACGTTAGTAATTCTCAATGTATTTAATAATAAACTGTTGAAGAATGCTCACCATTAGAAGTTATTATGTTTAAAACAGCCTATTTACTTGCCCAAACGTAAAAGAAAGTTAAATAAACACATTTACCTGCGAGAAATCTGGGATGAATCATGTCTTTCCTCTTCCCCATGGACACGTGAATCAATCTCCGACTTAATAAATCAGCACAACACTCATAGTGAACGGATGAATTCCTACAACTGCTTCGATTACATTAGCGTAGACGTGCTAATTCCTGTGCTAACTCTCAGTTAAAGCGTTCTTCTAACAAACTAAACCTCCTAAATAATATCACCTTATAAAATAATCGAAATATCAGCTTTGACTCTAGAGAAATACAGTCAATTCGTTCGTAGAAATTACTCATCTATGTTCTCCCTCTAGCATGCTAGCATTCTGTTTACAAATGTGCTTCGCGTCGCAAAGCTTTGTGGGTAATGTAGTTCTCTTCCTCGCACATTCCGTTTTCTGAAATGAGAAAAAAATAGCACCAGGTATAAATAGTCATATACAATCACATGAATGAAAGCTTATATAGTTATTAGTGTTATACTTTAGATAATAATATATTTTTTCCTCAAAATGTATTATTTTTATTTAATAAATACTGTTTGTACATAGTTACTATATAATTAGGCCTACTTTATATTATGTAAATGCTAGTCAATTACTTAGTAAGAGTTTAAAATGTAATTATTTTAAAATCTGTTTTTAATGCTTTATTGGCTAAAACAATAATGTACAGTTTTATTATATAGCAAAAATTATTTAATATACTTAAAAAACAAGGATTAAACGAGAAGAAAGAACAAATATATTATTAAATGAATAAATAAATGGAAAAATAGGGTACATAACACTGATCTAACCTATATTTAGAATCTCAATTGTAGATCAGTGGCACATATTCATCAATTTACATACAGATATATTATTAATTTTCAAAACATTCAATTTATATACAAAGAAAATGCACTTTTAGAACAGAAAAATACTATTTCGTAAACATTTTAAGTAAAAATGAGATAGGATAAACATTAATCGTTTTAATCTATTTTTAAACTTATATATTTAAACGGCGATGTCACGTGTGACGGCTGGGCCAATCACATTTGTCGTTCAAGCGAAACTACAGAGCCCAGAGTTCATTGCGGAAGAAGGTCACCGGTAAAGGAAGCTACGGGTCAGTAATGTGCTTTAGAAGTGGCTTAAAAATGCTTGTAAAGTGTGTGCTGTTTTTACAAGGTCGTACAATGGTGTTTTGTCATTTAGTGTGATATATGAGTGTCTTCTCTGTTGTGTTTGTGTTGGTTTGTTTTCACGCTCGTGTTGGATTTGTTTTGACGTTTGGTTGAGCTGAACTTCAGCTGGAGCCACTGCAGGGAAAGCATATTTGATTTACGCACATATACATTTATATTTGAGTATGAACTAAATGTTTTCTAGATGACGAAATTAACCAGTTAATATAACAATGACAATAATATTGTGTAATATTTATTCATAATGAATTAATTTAATAGAGTTTTTATGGTAACACTTTATTTTGATGGTCCAGTTGAGTATTAGTAGACTGTCTGCTTAATATCTGCGTAAAGGACATTCAACAGACATTTAACTGACTATAAGAAACTTTGAAAGCACATAACCTTAACCTAACAGTCTACATATAATCCAATGAGAATTAGGTATGTAATACCAATGCAATGTAGCTTAAATTCAACAAACAGACCATCAAAACAGAGTGTGACCGATTTTATTTTATTAAAGTGTCAGGATTAATTTAGTTTGGTACACAAAGAGCTATTTTTTATTTATTTATTATGTTTTTGTTCCATATGTGCTTTTTGTTGCACAATAAAATCCTGTTGCTTTGTGTATTTCTAAAATATCATTATAAACACTTATATATATAATTAAATAAATATTATAATTATATTATAATAACAGTTCAAATGTAATGCTTTCGCAGTTTATTTAGTAATGTTTAACCTACTTCTGTATATCAGTGAGCCTTTAATGAGCTTTGGACACTTTTAAAAAGATCATGTTTCATCAAAGGTTATGTACAGTTCACTTATTACATTTAATAAATCACTTTTTCAGGACTTCACATGTTAGACTGCACATTTCTATTTCAAAATAGAGGTTTTTAGGATATTGTGAATTTTAAAAATACACATTGAAAAAGATTTAAATGAGATTTATTCATCACATAAAATCTTTCTGTATCTTTCTTTATTTGTGATTCACATTTCTTCACTCCTGATTGTTTTTTTTATTTAAAATGCGTGCTACAATTCACTTTTATTTATATCACATATACATTATATATGTATATGTATATATATATATATATATATATATATATATATATATATATATATATATATATATATATATATATATATATATATATAAATCACACATCTATATTATGTCAAAACAAAAGTTTATGTTGGATGCTATAAATCGCGATTTAATCTTTGCCAAACACTATTATTTTTATTTTCTAAATGAATGGGAATGCAGTTTATTTACATAATTTGTAAACTATTTTTAAAATGAGTGATCAGTTTTATTTAATTAAAAGTGTAGATTACATCAAAAGCAAATATATGTTTTTTTAGTCATTTGTAATTTTTTACTAGTTTATGTGTAAATGTAGTAGTAAAGGGATATATATATATATATATATATATATATATATATATATATAT